GAAGGAAGGAAGGAAGGAAGGAAGGAAGGAAGGAAGGAAGAATACAAGTGCCCTGAAGTAATTATACTGGAATAAGTATCAAGGACTATTTGTATTCTTGCTGAACAAACCTACACAATTCAAAGTGGGGGAAAAAAGTGCACTGATAGCCCCATCCCCAAGAGACTACCTATACTTCCTAATGAAGAGCATTTAGAGCTGAGAATATAGATCAGTGACTTCCACGAGGCCTTGGGTTTAATTCCTAGTAGCATAAAAGAAGAGAAAGTTCTCTAATAAAGCCTGGCTAGATTTATACAAAATGATTTCTTCATTTACTGTAACATGAGAAATGTTACCACAAATTCTCTTTGTATCAATTAAGGCTGCTCACCTTGCATCAGAAGCAAAGTAATATTCTACTGCTTTTTCTTCAACAGGGAAAAGGCAAGTCGTGCTGTCCACACGAGAGAGATTACAGCTTCCTTTCTTGTCTTTGCCTAGCACATACAGTTTATATGAATTGGCAAATATGTAGAAAATCATGGTTAATTTAGAAACATACATGAATTTTTACAAAACCAACCAAAAAACCATAGCAACACAAAGTACTTTCAGCAATTTAAAAATGCCAGGTAGATCACCTTCTTCCATGCAATAAGCCAATAAGAACAGACAAAAAGTGTAGAGTGAAATAGCAACTGTAAAATAATGCGTGGCAGATAACAGTGCTACATTGTAATTTTTTAATATAATATTTCTTTTCCAGGTAAAATCTAATAGTTCATTAATATCATAAACTTTTTCTTTAAAAGTATATATAGATTAATCTTCATTTAATTTCACAATGAACTTAAGAGGCAATACACATATGTTTGTGCTCCTATGCTTATTACAAAAATTACATTAAAAATATCAAAACTATGCAATGAAAAGTAAGCCTAGTGGTAAATTAATTTTTGTTGTAACAAAACTTTTCTAGCTCTTAATAGCAAGTCAGCATAACAAACCATGTAGTCTAAACTAATTTTGATTTTAAAACAAAGCACAAACACGTATCATTCTCCAGCCATGGAGCAACCTACGTGGCACCTACTGCTAGACCTGGGAAAGAGTATATCCTGTCTTAGAGCTGCTTCCTGATACTTCTTTGTTAGTCAGGGTAAAAGATGGTACTTTTATAATAGCAGTATCTTTTTAATGTTAGCACTTCAGCATTGCGGCATCTTTGTCAAGTTAATGAGATGTTTTCTTTTTTGGTCATTCACAACTAAAGTAAAAATGAAGAATTGTGAAGTTTGATGAATTAGCCTAATCTAGAAAAAAAATCTATGAGCTAAAGACTATATAATGTCCTAGAAACAAAAAGTTCCCCTCTCCAAGGCCAGGACACAGGAGACTTTAAACCCTACGGACGAAACAACCACAGGATACATAAGTACCGTTAAAAGGCACACCAAACCCATCCTCTAAAGTGCAGGTACAAAGACTCTGCACTAACTATTCTTAGGAATGTACATTTGAAGTTCTCCACACCTGATTATTTGGTGTGTTTTAGAAGATATCAAACTTTAAAAACTAACTATAAAATGGCACCCTATAAATGATAACACAATAGAAATGTAACAGATCAGTGTTTGTCAGGGGTATAGAATGGGACAAGGGTTGATTACAAAGGTGTAACTCAAGGAACTTTTGGGGGAAGAGAATTTTCTGTATGTTAATTGCAGCAGAAGTTAAAAACTGCTTTTGACAAAACTCTAGAAACTGTCCACCAAAAATTGAATTTTACTCTATGCAAAAAAAAAAAAAAAAAACGTGAAACTCAGTGGTACAGTGCTTACGGAGCATGTGCAAAGCCCTGGTTCAAGCTCAGCATCCCCCAGCCACCTCCCCCGAAAAATGAGTTAAAAAACAAGTAGAAGGCGCCAGGCACAATGGCACATGCCTGTAATCACGGCACTGAGGAGACTGAGGCAAGAGGATCACGAGTTCAGCCTGTACTACATAGCTACCTAGTCTCAAAAAAAAAGGACTGCCCAACAGCTACCTTTCAAAAATAAATACAACTGGCTTTGTTTACAGAATATCCTAACAGTGCTGAATTTCATTCCAAATATGATACCATTCTTCAAACAATAAAAGCGTATTTATCAAAATATTTAAAAGAATGAGGTATCACTACCTATTTAAATAGTATCTGTATAACTCAATGTATCCAGAATGTTTTCCCATATGTTGATTATCTCATGACTTGGAATACAGTTATCATCCCTGTCCTGCAGAGAGAAACATGGCTTTTTCGGTCACAACCTGAGGAAATGACAAATGACAGTGCGAAGCACTGAGTCCAGAGTTCTCTCTTTACATCGCCCCTTCACTAAGACGCTGCTTAACTAAATCTCACTGAGCCACACTCTGCCTACTAGGAGCTACAGAAATAAAGCTTATTCAAATACAATCTGTCATGATAAATCCTTCTTCCAACTTCTTAAGGCCTTAGCTATGGTTTTTTCCATTATTTTGAAAAGTAGCCCAAGCCGGACATGGTGGCACGTGCCTATAATCCCAGCACTTGGGAAGCTGAAGCAGGAGGATCGCTGCAAGTTCGAGGCCAGCCTGGGCTACAAAGTGAGCTCAAGACCAGGCTGAATTGCACAGTGAGACCCTATCTCAAAATAAAACAAAACAAATGTTTAAAAGTAACCCAAGACAACCTATCAGGTAACACATATAGATAATATATACACAAGTGGAGTTATTAACAGAAATCTGAAACTCTAGATCCACATTCTGTTATTCTCACGGGAAAGTATTCTTCTGGAAGGACTAGTGGCTAGGGAGAGGAGTGATGGAGAGAAAAAAGGGTCCAACTAACATCTTAGGATTAACGGTTATTTAAGAAAATATTTCCTGCTCCAGATAAAAGAGTGAAAACAGTAGCCATTCAAAATGAATAGGTTTACGGTATTTTGTTAAGTGTTTTTCAAGAAACCAAGAATTAAACATTAATAATACGAGTTTTAATTTCCTGAGTCTACTGCTCCCTACCTTTTAGATGAAAAACTTTTAACAGTAAGTAAACAGAAAAAGCACATTGTTGTTGTTTTACCTTTCTGTGTAAATGTATCACTAAAATGGTCCACAGTTTGTACAGCTGAAAGTTCTGTTCAAAAAATTAACTTCAAACATAAACAAGAGAAACAATAGCTCTATAAATTCAAATAAAGCCCATCAAAATGTAACTACCAGTTTGTGCAAACTAGCAGAGTGCTCTTTTCCTAATTCATGCATGTATCCTACCTACATACTTTTTTTTTGTCTTTTTGAGACAGGGTCTGGCTATGCAGTTCAGGCTGGCCTTGAGCTCACTTTGGAGCCCAGGCTGGTCTCAAACTCACAATGATCCTCCTGCCTCAGGCTCCCAAGTGCTGGGATTACAGGTGTGCGTCACCACACCCGGCTTACATACTTTTAAAACAGAAAAAAAAAAACTTCAATTATGTCCTCATACCTCAGAGATTAAAAGAAAAAAATTCAAAGCCGTTTTCTAAATGCCAAAAGCAAACAGACAAAATATATTCTGCAAATTAGAAAAAAAAAAAAGTCAAAATATGTTTCCCCATAACATAAGCACTTTTTTTAGAGGCCCAGCACATTCATTCACTCCAAGAACAAAGAATTAGTAAAGAGGAACAAAAGAGGGTGAGATTCCTTCCCATCCATGCAGAGTGCAGTTCCCACCTCTTTCTCCCTGTGATCCCCACCGTGTGAATTTTGATCCAATCTGAGTCCTAGCTAAGGATATACAACAGAAAAAAAAAACTCTACTAGTGAGAGAACTCAAAAACAAACCTTTTTCACATCTAGACAGAGCGACATATACAGATATACACATATGGATACACCAAAGGGGCATTTATTCAAATTTAAGGAAAAGAATTCTTTACATTTACTGCACCCAGCTTCCATGTCTCCCCCACAGCATGAAGCAAGGGCAGCTTTACCTGTTCTGTAGAGTATGGGAATGTGATCGGTAGAGAGCTTATGTTCACTCCGAACGCCAATCAAGAGGGGGCTACCGCGCCTGTAATTGAAAATGAGCCAAATGAAACCTTTTTTTATAAATAATTTGCTAATAATATACAATTTTAATTTAGTCAATATTTTTCAAATAATGTATTAATTATTCCTCTAATTAATTTAGAGCTTTAGGGGGCTGGGGATTTAGCTCAGCGGCAGAGCACCTGCCTGGCAAGCGCAAGGTCATGAGTTCGATTCCCAGTATCGGGGGAAAAAACAACAACAAAAAAAAATTTAGAGTTTTAGATATATCAAAACAACTAGATCAGCAAACTAAGATCCACAGACCTCAGTGCCTATTTTTATAAGTACATTTTTGTCTTAATTCTAATTATTTATTTTAATGGACAAACTGAAACTATATTAAAGAAAGTTTTATTGGAATACAGCCATACCCAGTCTCTTACAAACATTCCATGACTACTTTCCCATCAGAACAATGCTGAGCAGCTACTGGGAGGCTGTGTGGCCCAGAAAGCGGAAGTATTCCGCGTTGTTCCGGAATACACCTGCCAACTTAGTCCCATTCCCGAATGTCTGCCAATCCCTATTGCGACACTATATTTAAAATTATTTTCCTTTTAAAAGTTAAATAAAACCCCAGAATGCCGATATATGCCTGTTTAGCCCTTCTTAATAATCTTGCCTTCGAATTAAAAACTTCTCTTATCAACTCTTAAGGTTCCTCACTGTTCTAGACTTCATGACCACATCTACATATACTAGCAAAAGCAATGATGGTACACTTATCTAAGAACTTATCAGGAATATATGTTTCCAAAAAATGTGGTCAAGGTTAATATTTTAAGACTATAATTAGAAAATATTTAATACCCAAATTCACAGAGTAATGATGGTGTCACCCCAAACACAAAAGGCAAATCATAAATGCCAAATGTATTTGCTTTATTAAGACACTGTGTTAAATGAAATAGCAGTACAATAACAGATGAGAAGGATTATATGAAATTCACATGAATATCTAAGAGCAGTAAAGGGTCATCACTTACAGGCTACAAAGAATAACTCTGCAACTCAAATGTTTCAAAACACGTAATTTATTAGTCACTATTAGATTTATAATGTACCTTGTGCCAACTGCTTGCCCAGGAAAATGAACACTTTTAAATACAAGTGCAAAAGCACCTTCCTATGGAAGGGAAAAAATACATTAGCAAAATTTATTATCATCAATTATCACTTATGAAGTACTTATGATATAGTGGCTTCAGCAGAGGGATTTGCTGTTCACACAAGGGTTCCTTTACAGTAGTCAATAAGTAAGTCTACATTTTAGGCTGATACTTACTTACTCCTGAGCTTTGGTGTAAACAAGACCAACTTTTTAAACCAAGTCTATTTTCAAAATATGCTTAAGAGATGATAGCTCCAAAAATAGACCATTTGTACATGCTATCAACATTTCTCAATAGATGCAGCATAACTCTTATACCATGAATTAGTAAAAGGCCAGAAATAAAAACACCCCAAGCTCAACATCCAAAACCCACTTTGCCCTAGTAATTGTACACCACTGTTAACCTCCATTCTTTTTTACCTTGACACTAGACATGGGAACACTTACACTCACAATTAATATGCACACCATCCCATCCCATCAACCCAACTTCCTCAGGGACAGGACCTAATGAAGAACAGATAAAGGGAAAAAATGAGGTAGAAAAATGAAGAAACACTACAGAACATGAAGTGGACTCCACAGCCAATGAAAGGGAAACCTATCAGAAACAGGAAAGGCTGGGAAGGCACACTAGTCTGCCTTGGGCAAAGGGAGGAACAGGTATCTACCCATACAATAGTCTTCATCTTCCTCATTCCTTTGATTGCAGACATTATAAGGTTAGTGCAGTGGTAGGAGAGAAAGGTTGGGTCTCAGAAAGGCAGAAAAGGGTTTTTAATTGGGACAACTACAGTTATGAGTTGCGGGGTGGTCAGGCATCGCTATGGGCTTAAAGAGTTTTGTGGATGTCTTTAATCAGGGCAACTGAGATGGAATCAAAGGAATACTGCTTTCTCTTGGCCAACAGAGGCCAATGTCCTAGCATTTTGCACCCACTGACCTTTATCTCCCTCTCCTCTTACTGACATACCCTCTTCCTTTTCTTTTTCCTTCCCTCCTCCCTCCACATCCCAGACTAACCATAATATCAGAACAATTCAGTCTGTTAGGGACACCAATAAAAAAGTGAAACTGTCAAAACAAGAATTAATGTTCATGATCGATATTTGGCTGGATCTGTGAATGCTGTTATAACCAGTAAGAATTCTCTCCTTACAACACAGTGACAGGCCCAACCCAATTAAACTGAATTCAACGTACAAAGCAAAATCATGACACCACTGAAATCCAGAAGATCATTAATAATTCTATGAAAATTTATATTCCACAAAATCAGAGAATGAACAGATTCCTTGACACAAATGAATCACAAAACTGAACAAAATACCCTGAACATGCTAATAACATGCCATCAAATTGAGCCAGTCAAAAAAAAAAAAAAAAAAAAAAAAAAACACAAAAAAAGCCAACAAATGGACCCACTAAAAAAAAAAAAAAAAAAAAAAAAAACTCAGCAACTAAGAAAAGCCCAGAACCTGATATATTCACCACTGAATTCATTAAGACCTTCAAGGAATATGTAACACCACTATTTCTCAAATTCTTTAATAAACTGAAAGGGAATGAGTACTTCCAAATTCATTCCTGGGAGCATTACCCTGAATCTAAAACAAGACTAGCATCTAATTAAAAAGGAGAACTATAAGCCAGGCATGGTGGCAAACACCAGTAATCCTAGCACTCAGAAGGCTGAGGCAAGAGGATCCCCACGATTCAAGGCCAGCCTAGACTACATAGTGAGTTCAAGGCCAGTATGAATTACACCAGTAAGACTTTTTCTCAAAAAAAAAAAAGAGAGAGAGAGAGAACTACAGGACATTTTTTTTCGGGGGGGTCCTTTTTGAGACAAGGTCTCACTATGTAATTCAGGCTGGCCTTGAGCTCACTTTGTAATTCAGGCTGATCTCAAACTTGCAGCCTCCTGAGTACTGGGATTACAGGCATGCACCACCACACCCAGATCAAACCATTCTGTTCAATAAATATAAACAAAAAATCCTAGGCAAGATACAGTCAAACAAAATGCAAGAAATCAACAAATCATCAAAAAGATCGTACATCATGACCACATAGGCTGTACCCCAGGGATGCAAGGATGGTTCAATACACACAAATCAATAAACATAACATAACACATAAACAAAAGCAAAGACAAAAATTACATGATTATCTCAACAGATGCAGACAAAATCCAACATCCCTTCATGACAAAAACACTAAAGAAAATAGGTACACAAATAGGTACATCAATCTGACAAAAGCCATTTATGACAAACCTACAGGCAACATCATACTAAATGGGGAAAAGCTGAAACCTTTCCCTCTACAATCAGGAAGAAGCAAGGACATACACTATCACCACTCTTATTCAATAATAAGAGAGATATTTGCATGTGACATGATCCTTTATATGGGTACCCAAAAAATTCCATCAAAAGATTCCTAGAATTAATAACCAAATTCAGCAGTGTAGCAGGATATAAAATCAACACACAAAAATCAATCGTGTTTCTATAAATTAATTAATGAACTCATGGTAAAAGAAATTAGGAAAACAATACCATTCACAGTGGCATCATGAAAAATTAAATACTTAGGAATTAACCTAGCCAAGAAAGTGAAACACCTCTACAATGAAAACTGCAGCACTCTGAAAAAGGAGATCAAAGAGGACATCAAACAATTTATATCCCGTCCTTGGATAGGCAGAACCAATACTGTCAACATGGCCATACTTCCAAAACTGATACACAGATTTAATGCAACCCCAATCAAAATACCAACAGCATTTCTCAAAGAACTAGAAAAAACTATCCTAAAATTTTATACAGAACCAGAAGAGACCCAGAATAGCAAAAGCAATCCTGAGCAATAAAATAAAGCAGGAGACATCACAATCCCAGATTTACAGTTACACTATAAAGACAATGATGAGAACAGTACGGTACAGACACAAAAAACACTCGCAGACAAAACATTCCAGGCACATTAGGTCATCTGATCTTTGACAAAGTAGCCAAGAGCACACACTGGAGGAAAGACAGCCCCTTTAACAAATGGTCCTGAGGAAACTGGTTACTCACATACAGAAGATATCTATCACCATGCACCAAATAAAATCAAAATGGATCTTAGGCAAAATATTAAAACAGAAACAATCTGCTGAAAAATAAAACAGTAAAACTTAATGACATTGGTACAGGAAAGGACTTTCTAAGCAGAACCCCAAGAACAGTATCAAGAATCAACAAATGGAACAGGATACAGGAAATAGTATCAGGAATCAACAAATAGAACTATATTAAATCAAAAAGCTTCTGTATAGCAAAGAAAATAATAAAGAGACAAGGTACAGAATGGGAATTTTTTTTTGCCAGCTATTCTTCTGACAGAAGACTAGTATCTAGAATTGACAAAAAACTCAAGGAAAAAAAAAAAAAATTAGATCCACCAAAACAAAAGATCCAATCAGAAAATGGGCAACCAAAATGAATAGAAATTTCTCAGAAGAAAAAGTCCAAATGACCAATAAATACATGAAAAAACATTCAACATCTCTGGCCATCAGAGAATTGCAATTTAAAACCACACTGAGATTCCATCTTAATTCAGGAAGAACGGCTATCATCAAATAAATCAATCAATAACAAATGCTGGTGAGGCTGCAGGAAAAAGAGCCACTTCCTACATTTTTGGTGGACATGTAAATTAACATAAACACTATAAAACCAGTATGGAGACTCTTCATTTTTTTTTTTCTTTTTTGAGACAGGGTCTCGCTATGCACTTCAGGCTGGCCTTGAGCTCACTTTGTAGCCCAGGCTGGCCTTGAACTCACAACGATCCTCCTGTCTCAGCCTCCCAAGTGCTGGCATTACAAGTGTGCGCCACCAAGCACGGCTTTTTTTGGACTCTTCAAAACACTAAGACTTGAAATTCCATTTGACCCAGTTATTCCCCTTTCTAGGTATTTTCCCAAAGAGTTACAGACATCATGCCACAGTGATAATACGCATACCCATGTTTATAGCAACACTATTTGAAATAGCTAAATCCTAGAAATAGCCTATATCCCTCAACAGATGAGTGGGTAAATTTGAGTCATTTGTGGGAAAATGGGCGCACCTTGAGACCATAAAGTGAAGTAAATGAGACACACAAGCTTTAACATCACGTAACTTCTCTTGTATGGGAAACCAAATTAGAAATGCTTTTAAAAACAAAGTAAGACAATAGGACACAGGAAGATAGGTCTTTTGTAAATGGGGAGGTCTAGAGACAAATGGGGAGATGGGAGTGGAGGAGTAGGGGAATAAAAAGAACTCAGATATGTTAAGTGCATGCTCTCACTCTCTAAGAAGATCGCAAACATCATGTACTGTAAACATGTTCTAATAAAAAAACAAACATTAAAGAACTGTGAATTCAGCTGGTGTCGTGGTACATGTGTACAATCCCAGTTTTTGGAAGGGTGAGGCAGGAAGATGGAAATTCAAGGACAGCCTGGACAACAGAATAAGACATTGTTACAAAAAAGTATAGCAAAAAAATAAAAAATTAAAAAAAAAATGTAGGGCCAGGGATATAGCTCAGGGGTACAAGAGCCTGCCTTGCAAGCGCAAGGTCCTGAGTGCGATTCCCGGTACCAAAAAAAAAGTATAGATTCATACCAGTTGTTGAATAACTCTCTCTACCAACGTAGTAAAACTGATATCTTCACTTTCCCAATTGTCATACATGTACTTAACAAGCTTGGCAATTGTCTCCGTATCTGTTTCAGATTCAAAGTCATAGCCTTTGCTTTCCTATAAGTAGAGAAGAAAAAAAAATTCAAGGAAATAGGATATCCAAAGCTTTTCTATAGAGTTTTTCTCTCCAATTTCTAATATTTTTGAAGCCATGCCCCATTACTCACTGTTGAAAATTAAGGCCACCATCTGATTATAGTGAACCCCAAATAACAGTATTCTATAAACTGAACACACACTTCACCTATATATGCCACTATGTATAGTATTAAAATAATTTTAAATTAAAATAAAATGTCACTCAAACACTAATTTCACAATGAATATAACAAGTCTCTCTTTTATGGTATTGCACTGTCCAATAAAATAGCCATTGACTATATGGGACTATTTAAATTTAACAAAAATTAACTAAAGTTAAAAATCCCATTTCTTAGGCATACCAGCCCAGTCACTGAATGTGGACAGGGACTACCACACTGGCTGGCACTAACACAGAGCAATGCCCTCAGAGCAGAAGAGCCAGCTGGGCGGCTCTGGGGAAGCACTCAGGAGGGTCACCACTACAACCACCCCAGCAGAGCACTGCTAGTTAGGACACACATATTTTATTTAATCTGTGTAATTCTTCTTACATATTCCAAGAAACTTTTTTAAAAATACCAAGCAATGTATTTCAAGGCACCACAGATGTCCCCCAAGACCTTCTTTATGTATGTATGCATGTGATGTCAGGGATCTAGGCAACCACTCTGTCACTAAGCTACACCTCTATCCCAATTTTAGTTGCGTTTTGGTCATTTACAATAAAGTCAAATAATGATTTCCTTTTCATATAAGGAAACAGAACTGCCTCACTATTAACAAAAAAAGTCCAATAAACCAGCACACCCCTTGTAATTGTCTTAGGAATTACTTGATCACACCTAGATGGTACTGCACATCCCAAAAAACCTCATCATTCTTGTTAAAAGTATTGTCAGAGACTCGGTTCTTCTTTTTTTTTGAGACAGGATCTCACTATGTAGTCCAGGCTGGCCATGAACAAACTATGTAGCCCAGGCTGGCCTTAAACTTGAGGCAGTTCTCCTGCCTCAGCCTCCAGAGTGCATATGCAACACACTGGCTCAAGACTGGTGTCTTCTGAGGCCACTTTACTTACCAGAAATTTTTTCAAGTCTTTGTAGTTTGTGATGATTCCATTATGAATAACAATAAATTCTAGAAGGAATAAAACCATAAATGACAAAAATAAGAAATCTGATAATGCTACAAATAGCTATTATTGTGAAAAGATTTTATCAACTCAAAAACTTTATAACATGCTGTATTTTATAAGTGTAATCAAGTACCATCTATGCCTCATTATTAAGTTATCAAGTAGATCAGAAACATTGTCCACAGAGCTCGGTGGAAGCATACCATACTGGGAGGCACACCAGTGAAGAAATACCATATTTGGAATCCAGAGAAATCCATTTCAGCTGTGTCTAAACTACTGACCCACTGTCACCATATGAAAGGAGCAAATTCACTGGGCTGTTCCCTCATTTGCAAACAGAGAGAGCCAAACTAAATACTATTACTCTCATTTCCCTCCACATCCCTTCCTGAGTGTAAGTCTAAAGAGAAGGGCATTCACATTAAAACAATTTCTGATTTATTAATCAGTTTAAGGACTAAAGTTAAAAATTTTAGCAAGAATATTTGGCAGTTAATTCAGTTTTATGGTTAAATTTCTTTGAGGTCCAGATAATTCTTGGAGTGTCACATAAAAATGTTAAAATATCTGCCGGGCGTGGTGGTAAAGCCTGTAATCCCAGCACTCAGGAGGCTGAGGCAGGAGGATCATTGCGAGTTCAAGACCAGCCTGGGCTACAAAGTGAGCTCAAGGCCAGCCTGAACTGCAAAGCGAGACCCTGTCTCAAAAAAGACAAAAAAAAAAAAGTTAAAATGTCATTCCAAGAGCAAATAAATATGACCTTGAGATTAATTTCATCTATTTTTATTACAGGATAACTCTGAAATATGTAAGAATGGATAATCAAGAGTAGGCATTATTAATTAACAATGTGGCCAGGTACAATGGTAGACACATAAGCCATGTGTGGTGGCACACACCTGTAATCCCAGCACTTGCGAGACTAAGGAAGGACAATCACTGCGAGTTCGAGACCAGCCTGGGCTACAAAATGAGCTCAAGCCTGAACTGCATAGTGAGATTCTGTCTCAAAAAGACTAAAAAAAAAGGTATACACATACAATCTGAGCTACTCAGGAGGCTGAGGCATAGGGCCACCATGGGCAATTTAGAAACACCAATGCCTTGTCTCAGAATAAAATAAAAAGGGCTGAGGACACAGCTCAGAGATCCACAGGCTTAATCAAAAAAACAAAACAAAAACTACCCATGTAGATTTATTATTTAAAGTTCCTGTGTCAGAAGAAAAATTACGACTAAACCCAATTTTCTTTTAAGACACAGTCTCACTCTGTTTTCCAGTCTGGCCTTGAACTTCTGAACTCAGGTGACCCTCTTCCCTCAAACTCTTATATAGCTGGGGTCGGGGATATACCTCAGTAGCATAAGTGTCTGCCTGGCAAGCACAAGGTCCTGAGTTCGATTCCCAGTACCAAAAAAAAAAAAGAGAGTGAGTTAGAAGTGTACTACAGGGGGCTGGGGATTTAGCTCAGCGGCACAGCGCCTGCCTGGCAAGCGTGAGGTTGTGAGTTCAATTCCCGGTACCAGAAAAACAAACAAACAAACAAAAACTCTTATAGCTGCAATTACAGACACACTACCACTCCGAGCCTGAATCCAGTTTTATATAACATTATTAAAATGTTATGACTATGTCTGAAAATCTATCATTTTAATTTAATACTGAGTCTGAACTGAAATGCAGATAACAAAGTAATTAATATGAAGACATTTCCTTTTGTGAAAGTATTTGAAATTATAAGTGAAGAAGGAATGAAAATACTGGGCTATCAAAAAAAATTAAATAATAAAATAAATATTTTCATTATACTTTTGAGAAAGAAGATGGTATCAACTATAAAAAATAAATTTAAGGGAAAACATGTAATGCTAGAACACAGAGAATCATAAACAGCTGACAAAGGCAAATTCTCAAGACAATCTAGACACTAAGTTTTCAGTTACGTTTTTTTATAAAGGCCTTGCCAGTGTTAAAAGCCTAAGTATGTAATTCGAGCATTCGGATTCAGTTCAGTAATACTGAGGCACAAAAAACCTAAATAGTAGCTTCAGAATTATATTACAAAACCAAAAGAAATGCATATTACACATATATTCAGTGTCTTAAAACAAATCAAATGTATACTTTGAGTTCATAAAAAAAATTTCAGTGCTCCTCCCAGGATAATATCAGAACCACTTAATGTTTGAACAATGGTAGACAAAGGAAAAGAATCAAACATTTACCCTGCTTTCCCTATACAATATAAACTTCAGGATAACAAAGTAATTAATATGAAGACATTTCCTTTTGTGGAAGTATTTCAAATTGTAAGTGAAGAAGGAATGAAAATACTGGGCTATCCAAAAAAAACTACTGGACTATCACTATTTGACAACCCTTAAATAATTAATCTTGGCACTAATCATCAATGACAAAAAGAAAATGATGAGGCTGGGAATGTAGCTCAGTGGTAGACTGCTTGCCTAACATGCTTGAAGCTCTGAGTTCAGCCTCCAATACTGCAAAAAAGGAGAGGGGAACAGAGGAGAGGAGATATATGATGTACCTCAGAGGCAAATAAACATGCTATAAATCTTTCTTCTTGTTGTTACTGGGGATTGAACCCAGTGACTTTCACTGAGCTACATTCTCCAGACTTTTTCATTTGTATATGAGACTGGGTCTTGCTAAGTTGACCAAGCTAGGTGATCCTCCTGCCTCAGCATCCCAGAGTGCTAGGACTACAGGCACTCATCACCATGCCTAGGGAACATCATACTAATTTATAAAACATTTAAGGGGACAGCCAGGCATGGTAGTATATGCCTGTAATCCCATCACTTGGGAGGCTGAGGCAGGAGGATCACTGCAAGTCCTAAGATATATAGGGAGTTCAAGGCCAATCTGAGCTACAGAGCAAGACCCCATTTCAAAAAAGAAAAAAAAAAGAAATATAAGAGACAAAGAAACATGTTTAATGACTTATCAGGGACATATACCTTATCATTATATAAACTACAGAAAACTCTACAGGACAATGCAGTAAACTCCAAGGAAAAGGAAGAGAAACCTATACAGAAGGAAAAGGGGGAGAACCTATAGATTCTGAAGTCACAGATCTGATATGATATCTACTGACCTCCAAAATAACACAGCTAAACTTAACTGGTCATGTATTGCATAAATCCTAAAGGTAGGTAATTCAAGCTCAGTATATTCTCCCTCTGAATATGGCTGAAATTTTCCAGATTAGAAAAAAATTAAAACAATAAAAACATAAACACCTTAATTCTTCCACTATCAGCCTTCCACAGTAATTCCAAAATACACAGAATCTGTTCATACCATTGTTTTTATCAGAGCGCTGTGGGTGGCTATTTACCGGACTGGGTTCTCCATGTGTTGCCCAACGAGTATGAGCTATTCCAAGGTGTACATCAAATTCAACATCCAAATCCATATCCTGTTGTTCTGAGAGAACAAGATAAAATGAAAACTTCCAGTATTAATGCTGCAGAGATGTTAGAAGCTACATTAAATTTTAATTACAGTAGTTCTCTCTTATCCACAAGGGATACATTTTAAAATTCTCATGGATGCCCGAAACTGCAGACTGTACCAAACTGTGTTAATACTACGTGTTTTCCTATATAAGCACATAACATAAACTTGATGCCTTTCTATCATAACTAAGCACTGATCATGCACAATCACTGTAACTTTTGTACGAGATGCAATTCCAGAACTAGCACGAATTTCTTTTTTTCTTCTTCAGAATTTCATGGAGAGATTCATCCTTACCACATTTCAGCAACCTCAGGACACAATTTTTTTCCTTTTTTGTTACACAGAAAACTCTCATCTTCTTACTCAAAGAAAGCAATTTATGGCTTTCTTTGCTCATACAAATTGCCAGGACCGGGCTGGGGATTTAGCTCAGTGGCACAGCGCCTGCCTGGCAAGCGCAAGGTCATGAGTTCAACTCTCGGTACCAGAAAAAAAAAATAAAAAAACAAATTGCCAGGACCTTGGGCCATTACTAAGCAAAGTAAACACAAGGTAAAAACTACCACTGAGTGAGAACACATGAACAAGGTGCCACTGAAGACTCCTCTGTCGTACGAAAGGCCCTTCTGCAGGGGGTGTTTCTGATACAACTTCCTTTGAAGACACTGAGCTTGCTCTGAACTCAACATGCCTCACTAATTTCCCTCCTGAGCTACTGTGGTCATGTTTAAAGCTCAACCATAATTTAAATGTAGTTCAAACAGTAACAAAACTATTTTATTCACTCCTTTGCAGTTCAGAATCATTATCCTCAAAATGGTTCCCAAAATATGAAGTATTTGGTGGGGGCAGGAGGAAAAATGAAGACAAAAATCAAACAGTGTATTACTGTGAACTTCTTCGTCCAGGGCCTTCACTTTTCCCTTCTTCTTGATGAGCTGGATTTTGGAGGCATTGGCTTCCCAATCCTTGTCATTGCCTCCATCAACCCCCACACCTAAGTCATCACAGGAGAGAAAAGCAAAATTTTAGACACTGGCTATTGTTAAGATTATGGATAGAAGGCAAAATTTTCAATTAAATTATATTTTCATCTACTTAATTTTTTTTTTTTTTTTTGCACTAGGAATCAAACTCAGGACCTTGTGCTTGCCAGGCAGGCACTTATGTCGCTGAGCTATATCCCCGGTTCCATTCATTTATTTATCAGTGTAACATTTACTAAAAATCTATTATGTGTCAAGAACTATGATACATACTTAAGACACAAAGTAAAAAAAGGCTGGGTGTGTAGCTCAATGGTAGGGTGCTGGCATAACATACATGAGGCCCTGGGGTCAAACCCATCATCACAAAAGACAAGACAACTCAGTTCTTGTCTGTAAACTTCTAACAGTCTATTGAGAAAACAGACAAGGAAAAAATAACTACCATACACAGTGTAAGTTATAATAAAGTACTACAGGTCGTAATTGGATACAATAAGCAACTTGGAACAGCAACATACACCTTAGAAGAAGGATAAGAAGGGATGGTCAGAAAAGCATTTAAACAGTCTACTTCAGTTTCTAAGGAATCTGAAAAAGCTACACTGTATTAGGAAAGCAGTGAGTCATTTTAAGCAGAGAAATAACACAGCAATAATGTTAACACCCACTCTCTAGAAATAGTATGGAGGATGGGTTAGAGGGAGAAAAAGAAGAGAGTGACTGTCAGAAGTTACCCCTGCAGCAAAGCCAAAGTGAAGAGTGGCTGAATTAAACGGTGGCTATAAAGGTAGAGCCAAGTGATACTAAGAAGCAGAACTGACTGCACATGAAGTGAGAAAGCGGAAGGCTAGGATATCTCCTAGACATAAAGGATGTGTTGAATGATTATTGATAAAAGGACAGAAAAATGAACAGAAGTAAGAAGTGAAATGAAGTGAAATGAAGTAGTGTACAAGTTCAGTTCTAAACATGCAAAAATCTGTAACATGATAGTCTATCCAGGAAAAAATTCATAGAAAGCAGCTGGAGGGGCTGGGGATTTAGCTCAGCAGCACAGTGCCTGCCTGGTAAGTGCAAGGTCTTCAGTTCAATTACTGGTACCAGGAAAAAAAAAAAAAAAATCCTTCTTAGCGGCTGGGGAGTTAGCTCAGCAGCAAAGCGCCTGCCTGGCAAGCACAAGGTCGTGAGTTTGATTCCTGGTACCAGAAGACAAAAAAAAAAAAAGCAGCTGGAAACACAGGTCTGCCAGTAGGGAAATATATACAGATTAGTCCATAATATATATGTGAACAAAAAGTCATCAGTATATAGGAGGTTGATGAAGTGAGAGCTCACCCACTAAGTTACAAAGAAAAGTGGGCAAGCAAAAACTTAGAGAACATTCATATTTAAGCAATAAATGAAAGAAAAGGAACTTCTAAAGCTGACAAAATAATCAGCATCTCTAAAATGCTATGAGAGAAGCTAAGAAAAGAGAATTTTAAGAACGAAGGAGGTAAGAAACAGACTTTAATACTGAGGAAAGTCAAGAAAGATAAACACCCATTCCATATGACACAGTTAAGTAGAGAAAAGACATCGGACACTGCTGTCCTAAGAAAGACCTGCTTTCAGGGTGGACCCCTGGGTGGCATCTGGGAACTTGTTCTTCAGGAGGGTTCCTGCCACTCTACCAGAACGAAGAGTGGTTCACTCCCTAAACTGTCCATGCAAACCGTGAGGCTTACATGAACGTCTGCTTTCCTTCTGCGAGTTGAGAATTTTGGTAGGTGCTACGCATTTGATGCTTATGTGACCAGCTCCCAGCAAAAACAACACTGGGGCACTAACGAGCTACCCTAGTACACGTTTCTTGTGTGTTACAACTCATTCCCACGGAAACTAAGTGTATTCTTTTATTCTATCAGAAGAGAACTCTTAGACGCTTGTGTCTGGGTTCCTCCAGACTTTATCTCATGCACCTTTTCCCTTTTGCTTTTTTTTTTTTTTTTGAGGTAGTGTCTTACTACACAGTTCAGGCTGGCCTTGAACTTATAATGACCCTCCTGCCTCAGCCTTGTGAGCGCTGGGACTACAGGCATACACCACCACGCCTGGCTGCTTTTATTCTTTTGCTATAATAAATAATAGCTTTGAGTACAACTGCACGTTGAATCTCATGAGTTCTCCTAAGGAATCCTGGAATCTGAGGGTAGTTTTGCGGCTCCACCGCAACAGAGCGGGAGCCAAAGTCAAACAGAAAATTATTTTTATTTGGCTTTTCATTTATATAAAATAGAAGAATCTCGGGTAAGTTCATATAATGAAAGCATGAATCCATGTAGAAAAAGAAATTAAAGTTACAATAAAGGAAACAGAATTTATAGAGCAAGACCTTCAAGGACTTTGCTCCCAAGAAAATAGCCCATATGCCTTATGTTTTTATCATAACATTCAATAAAAGTAGATTACCAAAGAAGCAACACTCCTCACAAATGGTAAACAGTATTGACATTACATAAATTAACACTTTAAACGTAATAAAAAATGAAAATTCTTGAGATTTGGCTTAACAAAACAGGCATTAGTAAAATCTAGTCTCCTAAAAATAATAACACTTTAAAGAATCAAGCAAAACCCATAATTCTTTTTAAAGAAAATACCAGCAGAATCATATCCTCTGTACTCCAGTCTCTGAAGGCCTTTGATTAGGGTCTCCAAGATTTCTCGTCTTGTGCGAGGAACGTGGTAATTTAAGTAAGCGAATATACCTGCAAATAAACAAATATTTAAAGGAAAATTCTGATGAATCAATATTGACATATAATTATGTTATGGTTTAGATCTAAAATGTACCCCCAAAGTCTCATGTGTTTGGAGGTGATTAGATCACAGGGGTGCTGTATTCATCATCTGACTGATGAGTTCAGTAGCTGAATGTGCTTTTAAGAGGCGGGGCCTGGGTGGAGGTGGGTCACTCTGGGAGTGACCTCAAAAGCATATTCTTGTCCCCAGCTCCTCCCTTCTCTCTGTTCCTGGCTACCATAAATCAGAAAGCTTTCTTTCACCATCTTCCACCACGCCATTTCTGCTTTGGGCCAGCCAATCATGAACTAAAATCAGGAGTGAAAATAAACCCTTGTCCCTTTAGATTGTTATCAGGCTCTGTGTCCCAGCAACAGAGTGACTAAAGTCTCAGATATGCAAAAATATGAAGCTAAATTCCACTTTTTAAAAGGAAAGAGATGCTCATTCCAAATTGTTTAAGGCAGTGAAATCTTTACAAAGAGTAATTTCGCCGGGCGTGGCGGCACACACCTGTAATCCCAGCACTTGGGGGGGGGGCGGGCTGAGGCAGGAGGATCGTTGTGAATTCGAGACCAGCCTGGGCTACAAAGTGAGCTCAAGGCCAGCCTGCACTGCAGAGTGAGACCCTGCCTCAAAAAGACAAAAACAACAACAACAACAAAATACAAAGGGGAATTTCTTTTTTTTTTTTTTTTTTTGGTTTTTCTCCGGTACCGGGAACCGAACTCATGACCTTGCGCTTGCCAGGCAGGCGCTTTTAGCCGCTGAGCTAAATCCCCAGCCCCAAAGGGGAATTTCTTGTAAGTATGAGAAAGCTGAAATGAATATGTCAAAGTAAGTGTTTAGTTTCTTCAAAGAAGTTTGTAAGACTGGCCACTTATTTTTCCCTGACTTTCATTTTCCAAGTGAAATTTAATTTTTTAAAATTAACCAAATTAGCCTGGCACTGTAGCATGCCTATCATCCCAGCTACTGGACGCTTTGTTGTTCTTGTTGTTGCTGTTGTTTGTTTCTTGAGATAGTGTTTTACTGTGATCTCAGGCCAGCCTTCAACTCACTGTGTAGTCCAGGCTGGGTTCAAATATGGAATCCTCCTGCTTTAGTCTTCCCAAGTGCTGGGATTACAGGCATGTGCCACCCTGCACAGCAAAATCCCTGTTCCTCCGTGAGCCAGGCTCAACTTCCAAAGGCTCTTCCTCATGTAACCACTAGAGGGCAAAGAAAAGCCCCAAGACCCCATTCAATCCAGAAGCAAGAGATCTAGGGGTCTTTCAGCTACTACTGTTCTTTCATAAAGTACTTGTAATAGGCCAGGCATGGTGGTACATGCCTCTAACCCCAGCTCTCAGGAGACAAAGCAGGAGGATCTCTGCAAAGCAATTCTAGTAAAAATGTGCCAAAGAAAAAAATACTGATTTTCAACTAGTCTATTCCCACCATGGTGACCAGCATCAGCTAAAGATTGCTAACGGACACAATCCAGTCCATTGGAAGGCCATTAAGTAATAAAGCAGAAGGTTGTCAGAATTCTTTTCCCAGCAGGAGGCCCTCTGGAAAGTCTTGAAGATGATTTTTAAAGCTGTCAAATGCCCATAATGCTGCACATTTAGAAAATTCCCTCCTAAACCACCTCTCTTTTTAAAGAAATATTGTCTGATAATTAAAGTAATATACTTGGAGACTTAAAGATTAAATATAATAATCTGATAGCAATATTTTAAAAACAATTTGAATGCTAATCACACAAAACAAACTGGGTTTTTGTTTAAGAGATAAGATTCTCACTATGTTGCCCTGGCTGACCTCAAAAATCTGGACTCAAGTAATCCTCCTGCTTCAGCCTTCCAAGTAGCTCAGACTACAGGCACATGCTACCACGTACAGCTAAAAACAATTTTTTTGAGATAAGTTACAACAGTCAACCTACTGTTTCTAGAACATCTAACTCAACAACAGCATTTCACTTTGACATTGCTTTTAACTTCAATCTCCTTGGCTTATAGTAGCTCTATTGTATCAATCTTGAGATCCTGAATACATTTTTAAAGACAAGAGATCTTGTAACCGATACCCACCCTCATCAAACTTACGAAATTACAGTTATTGATAAACTAATAAAATTCACACTAAACATTTGTTAGCTCATAAAAAAGTTTTGTTTTGTTTTTTTTTTTTGGTTTTTCTCCGGTACCGGGAACCGAACTCACGACCTTGCGCTTGCCAGGCAGACGCTTTGCCGCTGAGCTAAATCCCCAGCCCCATAAAAAAGTATTCTTGTTTTAAAGAAATCCTATGCATTTCTTTAATTCATTTGTGTCCGCAAAGCTTTCCACTCTACCACCTGTCCTCAACTTCATCTTCTGTGAAAAGAGAAACTTTGACTGAGATGGCAAAATACATTTCACAGCAAGTACTAGCAAGTTACTAAGTGGCTGTGGCTAGAGAACAAGTTAGAAAGGATTTGGTCCTACTTCCTCAATGAGAAGGAAACCATGACTGATTAGCACCTATTATGGAGGGTGTAACAACACAAGGGTCAAATATTTCCACCTCTAACATTTGAGGACAGCTACAGTCCCCTGCATCTTGACACTGTGCATTTCTGAAGCTTTTTCTGATTGCCTTGGAGCCATTCCTGATGGATTTGACATTTTTTTTAACTTCTACAGGCTACTTCTGTGGCCCTCATTTTTTGTTACATTTACATGATTTTGTCTGTGTATACTGTAACTACCATAACAGAGTATATTGTTAAGGATTAGTAAAACAAAGTAATACAAAAATTTGAGAATATTTTTCTATAAAACTATATTATTATTATTAGATCTAAGGAGATACAATGATCGATCATCATCTAATGCTCACATTCAAGTTTTCTCTATCATTTAAAGAATGTCTTTTATAGCTGTTCTGTTTATCCCAGGACCAAACCAAGGATCACACCTCACACTCTTGTTATGACTCGTAAGTCTCTGAATCTATAATGGTTCCCCCTTCCTCTCACATTTTTCCCCAAGATGAGCCTGGGCCAATTCTCTCGATAAATATCTGACTTTCAGGCTGTGTCTTGATACATTCCCACATAGTGTGATCTAACCAGTTTCCCTATCCTTAGTATATCCTGTAACTGAAAAATGGGTCTAAGGCTTGAATGAATTAGATTAAAAACTGGGGCAAGATTGGTTCAAGAAGTGTATTTTGTCTGGTGGTCCACTATTAGTGATGCTAAAATTCATCACTGGTTTTTGGTGAAGATAAGATTACTGAGGCTATGCCATTCTGAGAGTAGCCTGAGAATATTTTCTAGGGCTTTAAAGATCGACAGTACTGATTTTAGGATACATGCATTTTCCTCCTTTGTGGTCCATATAATAATTGTGCATTTTCCAATCAGCATCTTAGATTCAATGAAACATCATACATATATCAAGTTCCAATTGAAAACCTTTTCCTTGGTAGAGGAAGCACTACAACTGGAAATACCCACGGCTGTCATGTTTGGTTTGCCACTGGAGCAAAGGAAACAAGAAGAGGAGGACTAGAGGAAGCAGAGGTAGGAGCAACATTTCTCTTCACATAATTGGACAGGAACTGAACGGAAGAAAAGGATGAAGAACAACAATATATATGTAGAGAAACTTTCTGAGATCAAAGTAACAGAACTGGGAGAAAAAAGTTTATCCTAAGTGACATTCACAAAGGAAAAGTGGGAGTACATAAGCAGAATCTGTCAGTCTTATAAACCTGTCCCTTAACAGTTGTATTGGTCCTAGGCAGTCCACCTACTGGGATTAGTGACTTATCTATAATTTGGGGGTGGCTGCAAAGGTATAACAGCGGCAAACAACCACCTAATCAGGCATGCAGGGCATGTTCACAGGGATGTATTCATACACGAACTGGTGCTTGTTAAGGCAGAAATCACTAGTTCAGTCCTTATTTTCATGTCTTCAGCCTGTCTTTTCCTAACACACAGTTCTGCTTCTCAGAAAAGGTCTCTTCACTCTTTGATAATTGCTCCAATACCACCCAAAGCAGTTGCATGAGTATATATTTTCTACTCCCAAATCAGCATGTACTTAGAAAGTGTAACTTTTCTTATTAATGACACACACTTGGAACAAAATATCTCCTTAAGTAAAGCAGATGCTTATACCTAGAAAGATCATGCTCAGAAAACAGCAACTTAAATTCAGTGACATAAAAGCACTTTTAAGCACCCTGCTTTCTTTATTCTTTTTTCTCTTTTTTTTTTTTTTTTTTGTTTTTGGTCATTTTGAGACAGGATCTCACTATGCAGTTCAGGCTGGCCTTGAGCTCACTTTGGAGCCCAGGCTGGTCTCGAACTCACAATAATCCTCCTGCCTCAGCCTCCCAAGTGCTGGGATTACAGCCATGTGCCACCACGCTAGACGTAAGCATCCTGCTTTAAAAAAACTTTCAACACGATACAGATCACAGACTTAACACACCTCATTGAAAGCAATCTAGTTACAAGACTACTAAATCTTCCTGATTTTTTTTTAAAAATGAATACAACCTAAGTGACTAGTCAAAGTATTAATTATGCCTCCCTGAATTTATATCCTAATGAGTAAGAAACCTTACTTTGACTTACGTTTTCCTTAGACAACTTCAGTATTTTGGGATCATAAACATTGTAACCTCTTAGTAATAAGGGTTTAAATCCATCTACAATGACACTTCAAATGTTTTATTTTTGTTATAATGTACTGCGTTTATTATCATCACTAAAGATTCAAAATAGCACAGGTGCTGCAGAATACATTGTGAAACTCTCTCTTCTACCTCTACACAGGCTCCAATAAGCCAAAAATCTCTTCCTCAGTGATACCTACCATTAATCTCATACATATTATTTCATTTTTCCACATTCATTAAGTGTGTGTGTGTGTGTGTGTGTGTGTGTGTGTGTGTGTCTGCGCTCATACAGGAGATTGAACCCATAGCCTCCTGCATGCTAGGTAAGCACTCTACCTGAACTACATCCCTACCTCTTTTTATTTTATTTTGAGACACTCTCATTAAATTGTTCAAGCTGGCCTCAAATTTGCAATCTTTCTGCCTCCGGTTTCCAAGTATCTAGGATTACAGGTATGCATCATGTTTACATTTACGAACTTTGTAAGTAGTTTTAGAGGGCTTTTTTAGTGCTAGACTTTAACTGTAGGTCATATACATATTAAACACATGCTCTACCACTAAACCACATCCCCAACCTAAAAGACTTTTCTTTTTAACACACAAATGTGATGACAGTGTATACTGTTCTCTCCCTTTTCTTTGAAATTAACAAGTCAGTACACATTCATCCGCTCACTCTACTTAACTACTGTATGCTGATCTGTAATAGATTTATCACATTCTAACTAACTACTTTCCTGTTGAGATCTGTCTCTTCACAATTACAATCCTGCAACTAAACTTATACACGTCAACCTGATGCTCATTACAAAAAAATCAGTAGCCGGGCATGGTGGTGCACACCTGTAATCCTGGCACTTGGGAGGCTGCGGCAGGAGGATCATTGCAAGTTCGAGACCAGCCAAGGCTACAAAGTGAGCTACAAAGTGAGCTCAAGGCCAGCCTAAACTGCATAGTGAGACTCTGTCTCAAAAAGCCTGGGAAAAAAAAAAAACAGTAGTACAATTATGAAGTCACATTCTACATGCAAGATTCCTTTAAAAATGATGTATGATTTGAGACCACATTTTCTACAATTTTAAGAACACAAACAAAAATTGTAATAGTGACACAATGAAAAACTTCAGTTATTTCAGTTATTTGTGTGTTCTCTAATTGCTTTACATCTTTTTTCCCATGTATAAATCCTAGTTCAGGCTGAAGTACAGCTAGGTAATAAAACACATATTTCACATACATGAGGCCCTGCATTCAATCTCCACTGCCAAAACAATAAAATAAACAAAATGCTAGCTCAAGGCTCTGTTCTTTTGCCCACACTACCTGTTACCACTAGCTCCTCTCTTGCACATTTAACTCAGAGCACCATTTAAGTCAGGATATCTCTGATCACCACTCCTCAGCCTACCTCCATCACTGTGGAAGTGTGTACTTCTTCGCACAAGCCTTCGGAGCCCATCTCTCGCTCCCGTTCTCTCCGACCACTGCCATCGGACCACAGTTTTCTACCAGCCTGTCAACTCTGCCCCACTGGGCCCAGGGTGCTTTTATTTCCTGAGTCCCACTTCTACATGGGACTAGGAGATACATGCAGTATTCCCTCCATTTCAGTCCACTCTCATATAGGCCCTCTCAGCTGCTGCCAATCCTGCTAGTTCATCTCTTATATAACTTTCAAACTTCCCTACACATTATTTTAGAGTCTTAAATACACACCACTCACAAATCCCCATTTACCTCTTCCCAGCTTCTTTCTCAATTTTGGTAGCTATTCACACAATAGAATTAAAGCTTCCTTCTTCATTTCATAGATACAGAAGTATCCTATGTGCCTCTCATAGGATATGAGAGCTCCTTAGAAGCTTCCTTAGAAGCTTCCTTAGAAGGTTCCTTAGAAGCTCAAAAGAGAGAAAGATTCCGTATACTACTCTGTTACTTCTGATAAATGATTGTGTACTTTGTAAATATAAAACTTTTTATTATAGGCTGAATTTTATTACTCAGTGACCTAGAACAATTTTTATTCAACTTAAAAATAATGCCTAGCATATGACTCAAGCAATAAACACCCTGTAATAATTTCTCAGTTTATAGGTCAGAAACCACACCTTTAGAATTCAACGCCCCCCCACAACCTCCACACCCAGGACCTCCACACTCTGGGCAACTGCTCTACACTGACATTCCTAGCCCCTAGAACTCAGCTTTTCAAGGCTCCCGGAGTACTTCATTCCCAGAATACTCATTACCCATTACCACACTCCACCTAACACAAACTCAGGCACTACTGCTGTCATATATGTCACTTGTCAAGGGTTCTTTTTCTCATAGTAGCAGTCCTACCCCATCATCAGGAACATTCCTGATGACTAAAGTCCAGAGCTCTCCAGTCTTTGAATTTCTACTCATTCCACCTGTGGTCCATTTCATGGCAGTGAACAAGGACGGCACGAGGACGGTATATTGTCACTGAGAGCTACAGTATGTGCATTCAGGTTGTTCCCTCTGACTAAACAAGAATTCCTAGAAGGCAACCCTCTGTTTCAGTCGTCTCTCCAAAGGACCAAGTGCTGAAGTACAAAGCTATCACTTCACAGACCTGCGAGCATCTTCCAACACTTCCTAAGTACCTGGAATACAGTCAAAAATTTCCACACCCCAGAAATAGACCACTATTGTGTAGATGTAAAAAGAAATGTGGGAAAGGTTTCATGATTAAAAACTTAAGAAATATTGGGTTAAACAAAGTTAACAAGTTTATAAGAATTCTCTAGAACTTTAATCTTGCTGTTTATGACTCTCCAACAGCAGAACTTCCCAAACTGGTATGCTGCAAATTCCTTTCCCACCCTCAACTGCTCACTACCAGGTCCTAGTAACTTCCTACCTTCGATTGCTCATTACAGGATCTATTCTCCCTTTTCAGAGAACACACTGGAGGAAATGCTTATTAAGTCATTAATTATTTTCTCTTGCAACCTCTTTATATCCGGTATGACTTCCAAGGATATGTTAATAGTACTGGTTTTATGACTCATCCTAGCAGCCAGTCTTGGCATCTTTCAATCACTTCCCTGGCTATAAAACTAAATTAATTAACCAGTTAACCAATAAGAAAAATAAGGAATCATTTGAAAATACTTTTAAGTTTCCTCACTATTTCTGAATAGAACCTCATTTATAAAATTCCATTTATACACCACAGCAACTCGCAAAGGTATAACTCCATGTTTATAAAAGCAACAGTAATGTCTATGAAAAGCCAGGGGTTGCTGAAGTGACCTGACACCCTCTCAGCAAAACCAAAGGTAATACAAATAAAAAGGACAAAGTATAATAATTTGGAAAGCTAGGTGTGGCACATACCTGTTATCCAACGCACAGTAATTGGCAGGCTGAGACAGGAGAGTCTAAAACTAAAGGCCACCTTGGTAAAACTTGGTAAGCTCCTATCTCAGAAAGGGCTGCAGATGTGGTAGCTCTGTCCTAGAGTACTCCCCTAGTGAGAGGCCCTGGTTTCAATTCCCAGGTAATAACCTGTAAAACAGACACCCTATTCTTCTCTATAGGAGGCTCCCAATACTTTTTTTTTTTTTTTTTTTTTTTTGGTCTTTTTTGAGACAGGGTCTCGCTATGCAGTTCAGGCTCACCTTAAGCTCACTTTTTATTTTATTTTGTGTTTTTGAGACAGGGTCTCGCTGTGCAGTTCAGGCTGGCCTTGAGCTCACTTTGTAGCCCAGGCTGGTCTCAAACTTGCAATGATCCACCTTCCTCAGCCTCCGGAGTGCTGGGATTACAGGCGAGGGCCACCATGCCCAGCCTCCCAATACTTTTTAACACATTAAAAGCTCTCTCACTGAATTAAAGAAAGGGGAAGAAAGCACTCCACACTTTAGATGTGTAAACATTGTAACAGTTCTAACAGTATAAGGCCTCTCACAGAAGCTCTATCCATGGCTTCTGTTTCAATATGTTGTTACAATATTGAAATAAAATAATCTTTTATAAAAACTTGGCTAAGAAGCAAGTAATGAGAAGATAAACCTCTAAATGCTCCCAACTATTGTCATTTGCACTGGATTTCTCTGCCTACAAATTTTGTTTCAGTGATCAAAATGTGGAAGGAATATAAAGACAAACTCTCAAAAGGCACAGAGATGGCCTGTAGTACCAGCACCTGGGCTTGGGGGAGTGGGAGGGTGTTGAAGGCCAGACTGGGCTAGGTAGCCAGACCCCATCTGAAGAAAGGAGAGAGGGAGGGAGGAGGGAGGGAAGGGAGGAAGGAGAGAGAAAGACAGAAAGAAAAAGAAAGGAAGAAAGGTAGGTAGATCTCACCTTCTGAACAGGCAGCTTTCAGAACAGACATAACAGAGGAAATATATTAGGAACACTATTCCTGGTATCACACAAGTCTGGATTAAAAGCAGGACCTTAGAAATATCTCAAATTCTGTACAATTTTTAATTTTTTTTAGTAAGAGTTTTCTCACCAGTACAACTGTTTCATGGATACACCGTACTGGCTATGTGAAATATTTAGTCTCTAAAAGCCTCACCTTTATCTGAGACTTTCCTAAATTAGGCCTCATTTTTTTTATATGTAGTACTTTGACTCTCTCGTTTCCTGGAACAAGATGAGGAAGTGACACGTAACCAGAATGTTAAGTACCTGACTAGGCACACACCTTATCATGTAGGAACAGTTACTCACCAAACAAAGCGCTCCGGGGACTACGCAGTGGAGATTCACTGCTTCACAGCTCTCAACTAAATTATGGGAATTATGTGTTTTTGCAAATACATCCTACTAACTAGACATAGCAAAAGCATAACTGATTCTACAGTCAGCTCTAATAATTTTAGTAAGCTATTTATAGGTCTTTCTGTGTTTATGCGGGTTTTTTTAATCTACTCTAAATTTAAACCTGCTTATTTTCACAAGTTAAACTGAACATGAAGTTAAATATAGGAAAAATACACACTAATGTGTACAAGCCACCTCCTCAGTTCCGTCAGCAAAAGGCTGCAAATAATGCTTCCCAAGTACCTTCATGTCTACTGCAACCCTACTTCTGGCTTAAAAATGCTCTTCCTGCCAGGCATGGTGGCGCACTCCTGTTAATTCCAGCATTTAGGAGGCTGAGGCGGGAGGATCACTGTGAGTTCGGGGCCTGCGTGGGCTACATAGCGAGATCATTGCCCGTCTGAACTACACAGGGAGACCAAGTCTCAAAACAAACTAACAAAAAACCCAAAATAAAATAAAATAAAAGTGCTCTTTCTTCCAGGGATCAGGTCAGTTGTACATTTTAAAAAGAAACTAAGTATACAAGTCTTCTTATTGCCAAAGGATCTGTTAATTCCAATTTTAGAAAATGCCATATCAGATAAAATCTCACATTCTCAAAAGCTCACACTTTTAGGTAGTAATAAAACCACTCTCAAAATATGCAATAAAAAGGCCTATTTTTAACTGTTTCAGAAAAGACATCCGTTAAATCTTTCATAGCTAGAATTTTAAACGGATGCGCATGCTAGTGATAAATGGTAAGTATTTTCCACGGGTGCACATATGTGTGATCCACAACGTGTGGTCTTTCGATAGCCAGGGGCGTTTCTGGGCCTCTCCCGCCAGGGAATCAGGTCTAAACCAATTCCTCGAGTTTCCGATTAGGAAGGGTTTCCGTCGAGACGGAAATGGCAGGAAGTAAGATCATATGTAATGGCACTGTCGTAGGTATGGCTAGTGGGGCCTGCCCGGAAGAAAGCGATACCAATTTAACATTTTTGGAGTGCAAGGTAAGTTGCAGAGCCGCCGCCCGCCCGATGTTCCACAGGTTGCCTCCCTCACCTGGCGGACCCTTGTGAAGGCACCGCGCGCACACTACACACACGCACATGCACACGCGCGCACACACGCGCGCACACACACGCGCACAGGCGCCGTCAGTTCTCCCACCCTCCCTCGGCCTCCTTTCCCAACACGGGCAT